TCCACCTAAGCCACCGGCATCGCCCTCGGCGAACTGACGTCAATCGCCAGTACCCTGGGCGAAAGCCCGCGGTGCTGCCGCGTCGGGGCACCCGCCGCCCACGCGCAGCTCAGTCCGCCCGCGGCACGGCACGGAACGGAATGGCATGGAACGGCGCGGCACGGCTCTGCACGGCACGGCACGGCACGGCACGGTACGGAACGGAACGGAACAGCACGGAACGGTATGGAACGTCACGGCACGGAACGGAATGGCACGGCACGGAACGGAACGGAATGGAACAGCACGGAACGGTATGGAACGTCACGGCACGGCGCGGCACGGCACGGAAAGGAATGGCACGTCACGGAAAGGAACGAAACGGAACGGAACGGCATGGTACGGCACGGAACGACATGGAACGGCAAGGTATAGCACGGCACGGAACGGCGCGGCGCCGCGCGCGCAGGGTGATACAGTGGCGCCGCCGCAATCCGCGTGTCAGCGCGCAAATTGCGGCACGTAATCTGTTTATCTGGCGGCCCGCGTGCGATTCCGGCGCCGCGCCGGTGGCTGGCGGTCGACTTCCCTCACGGGAGTTAAAGGTAACTCTCAGGCGCTTTGATATTCGACTAGGGACGGACTTCTAGACTCGCGCTTCAAGCTAGCGAACGTTTGCTTCAAAAGTTATCGTTACTTATTTCACCTGTCCATGTTCAGTTGTGAAGTGAAATGTAAATTTGTATAGTATTTGAAAACTGGATAATGTATGTTCTCTTTGGTTTCCGTATGTTTTGGTAGTATCAATACGTATTATCTAAAATATTAGAATTTGTTTCCGAAAATAATGTTATAACAATATACATTTTTATTGGTTTTCCAAATATATATTACATTAATTATAAATGTTATTTTGAAAATATTGCGCCCTTCCATTTTTGCGTTTGTTATAATATATTGGTGTATTAAATAATAGTACATGGAATATATTAAGATTAATACAATCTTATAACCTAGCAGATTGCAGACATTAGAGACGTTCGGTATAGAAGTATGACAAATGACCTGCAAATATTTGACACATCAGGATCCAAAGCGAGTTCGAGAGTTAGTTTATTCTCAGGTATGATAGCGGCTTATATCTTCTTGAAGAAAATTCATGACTTGTTTTGTCTGTCGTTACCCCATCTTGACATAAATCCTAGTAAGAGTTAAGATTGTGCGTCATTCCAAACCTATAACTATGCTCTTCATGACGTGCTCAGTAGTATATTACATTATTTTAATGTTTTTACTATTTCAAAACAATTCCAAATCTTATTTAAAGAGTGAAATGGTTTTTGTTCATACAATTAAAGAAATAAAATAATTTTTTTACAAACTTTCATAATTTTGAAGGTATTATTTACGACTATTACGGCATTTTAAGAAAAAGAATTTTATGCATTTTTGGTGAAATTATGATTGTGTTACGTAGGTTGAAAATTTATAATGCGAATTTCAAATGCGTATCTTCTAAATTTGCCAACCGTATACGTTAGATACATTTTTGATTAGGTGCCGAAAGCATGTATATAACATAAAATGATTGATGCTGATCATGCTCTCTCTCATTCATAAGCAACGTCTGTTGTTCCTAAGGAAGGATTTATAGTTAATTCACAGATACAAAAACGGCTTTGATCGCAATTTACACCAGATGAAGTTGTTGCTTTTGACAGATGCCGTGCCCTATTGTCTTCTCTGTTGCAGACTGCAATACAAATTGTACAAGCGAACATTCACAAACTAATTACAAACATTTCTAAAACTGCTCCGGTTGGAAACGAGTTGAAAGCAGTATTTTCAGATGTTTGTACAACTAGCTTGGTAATTGAAAAGG